AAGCAAGTAGTACACATGGTCAAAATTACTATTTAGGGAAGTTACTTGAAGGACATAAGATATTGTACTTGCTTGGTGAAGAACCACATAAAAAAGAAAGCTTTTTTTTGAAAAAAAAGATGGCATTTAATATTAGAAGCCTTCACAACCACTTAAAATCATCATTCATATGGCTTCTTATATGTTTTCTATTATTATATTATTTATATTAGTTACTATTTCTTTAAATTAAGTACATTGCATGTTTGCAAGCCATACTTTTTATTGTTTGAAGTTGACATTACTTATACAAGTAGGTGACCAATACCCACTTTTACATAATTTAAAAAGGCAAAAAAAAAAATCAAAAACACAAAGGGCAATAAAAAAAGAAATCAATTATCAAACATAAAAGATGAAAACAAGAGAGAGGCACGCATAGCACAGGCAGGATTTTTTTTTAAAAAACAAAGAAGAATTGCAGAATTTGGCAAAAAAAACATTTATATGTACAATGCTACTGTTGAAACCACTCTTGACTATGGACTTGTTACTGTTCTTAGATTTGTTCAGTGTCAAGCTTGTTCATTTGATTACTTAGCTATTACTTCGTCCTAATTTTTACTATATATATCAATCTAACTTTTGCCCAAAAATCACCTTTCCAGCCGTGCAATTTCACTTTTCCTCTAAAAGTACTCCTACCTCAAAATTCTTTCAATTTAGAAATGTAATTCTTAATTCCATTGCTATACTGCATGTTCAATTTTAGCATCTGCTTGCTTCTGTAAACATAATAACCATTTAAGTTGTAAAATGTGAAAATAAAACAAACAAAAAACAAAAAACAAAAAAAAAGAAAGCATAACATAAATGCATGCTAGATTAGGAAAATAGCCTACCATCTATTGTAGAATCTGTTTTGCAATAAATTCAGATGGTTGAATGTCTGTTGTTTTAATAACTTTTTTTTATGCATGTTAATGTAAATGTTATTCTGCTTTCTGAGAATATGTCTTTGGAATATGTTCTGCATATTGTAAATTACTTTTAATAGACTCTACTTATTAAATACTGCAAATTGAATTCTTTTAAGGTTTCTTACATGAATATTTATGACTATGTACAATCTACATAGAATATTCTGAGCCTAGGAATCTTTTGCATGAAATACATACTAAACAATAGAAAGCTATTGGTTATATTTTTGAAAACGGATAATATCATTAGTGTGAAAATATATTAGCCCTTCTGACTGTAACACCTGCCTGCATCAAACATTGTTAAACTACTATTAAGATGTGTTTTTTCTAAGATTCATAGTAGATGAATTTTTGAAATTGGAGTACATGTTTTGTTATTTTGCATGTAATGAGATTTACAAGTTACAGATCGTTTGGATCACCTGCATAGTTTGCTGTTAACACCACTATATTTAACATTATTCGTTTCAATCAAGCAAAATAATTCTTTATCATGAATCTATGCACCTTTTTTAAAAGCTCTGTTGTAAATCTATATATATAGTTGTACCAGTACTGATTCTGGGTTGTTTCAGAGTGTAATTGATCTTCAATATGAAGCTTGAACTAGTTTATTTGGATGAACTGAATACTTAGAGCAAGGATTACAAGGTCAGAGTTACAGTTACTGAAAAGGGTCGTCCTCGAAAATCGCCAAAAAAGCCTGGATTAGTCTTCCAAACTCTCATTATGGAAGATGAGAAGGTGAGTCTACTTCTACTTTCTACTTTATTATTCAAATCCCACTTATACATGGGTGTTTGTGTAAAATCCTTGTGTTGGAGCATTTTTTCAAAAGTCATGTTATGCTAAAAAGAACTGGAATATGAAATCTGTAGCAATATCCTATTAGGTAATTATATCCGATTCATATTATAGTAATTATGTATACTGAAAGATGGAAAATTGTATAAAATCTATACAATCTTCATTTTGACCAAGGATTCAATAAGTGTAATTATATATGAATGCCTTAGTAGAGTTGCCTTTTTATGTTCAACTCCAACCAGGAACTATATAGCTAAAATTGCTTGTGTTTAATTCCAACCATGTGTTATTCTTACCATGTGTTACTCTCTGTGTTTCACTTCCAATCGACTCATAGAAAAACAAGATGCGTTGTGCTCTTTTTGGAGAACAGATAAAGGCCTATGAGGAGATCCTAAAACCCACTGGACAATATGAAATATCCAGGGCTTCCATAGGCATTGTGGATGATCAGTTCAAGTTCAACCTTGATGAACTTCCCTTCCAAATGACTATTGGACAGCAAACTGTTGTGCATAGGTTGAACCCTGAAGCTGGCCCTATTGTTCCCAAGTATCAGCCTCTGTCAACTATTCCAAGGACAGCTGATCCAGACAGCAGATTTGGTATACATTTAAATACAGTAATTGCAGTCTGTATAATACCATACCATGTAACTTATTGTCTAACTTAGTTCTACTTATATTCCTTGGCTTCAGATGTTGTTGTAGTAGTTCTTTTTGTTGAGGAACAGCCACGCATGATTTCTAATTCACGTGGACGTGAGAGTCCAGTTCGTGAGATAGTTGCCACTGATACAAGGTTACTTCACTTTTGAATAATTGCTCTTTTACTTTTACCAGGGCTTATTACTTATCACTCAACTGTTATGCTCACATATATTTCCAAACCTATGTAACAGCCGTGATCAAACTATCACCATTTTGGCATGGAATGATCTTGCTCTCAATGACTGCAATGCACTCAACAACTGGGCTGACAAGTTTAATGTTGTAGGCCTCACTTCTCTTAGAGCTCAAAACACATCTAGAGGTTAATTACTTTCATATTATTACACTTCTATTTTACAACAACAATTACACACCATGAATTTAACAGTTAATAGTTAGTGCTACTATAGGATTCATTTTGAGCACTACTATGTCAACTCGATTCATTCATGAACCTCAAGGAGATAGAGCAAATGTGCTTCGTGAATGTTTAATTTCTTACAATTCCATTTATCATGGTATATTGATCTTATATCCTGAAATAGATCATGATTTATATCTTCATTATAGGGCAAAAGTGTACCCAAGAGTGTTGCTTGATAGGCAGGCTAGAGTGCTTACTGTCAGATACCCCAGTGAAGAGAAAAAAATCTACGCAATTGCAGAGCTGAGAAACAAAAAGGTTCAAATTTTAACTCCAGTGCTAGCAGCTCTATTCAATAATCTTAAAGTGTCTATCTTTTGCTAATGACTGAAAATCTTCTTGCAAAAAATACAGCCATCCAATGTTATGCAAGAAGAAATAGCATGGATAAGAGTCACCATACCAAATGTTGACCTGAACAAGATTCATGCTTATGCTGGCTGCCAAGAATGCTCTAAACGCACAAATCTTCCTGTGGGATCTCGCTATCGTTGCACTTTTTGCAAAAAAACAGATACTACCTCTGTTCACAAGTAACTTATTCCTATGCTTTACCAACCTGTACAATCTATACTTAAAGTTGCTTCTTTCATTCCATCTTTGTTCAATAGAGTTACATTCAAGTTCAAAGCAATAGATGACACTGGAACTATGTCATTCACCACTTTCAATGACGACACAGAGAAACTCTTCAGAAAGTCAGCAACTGAGATTTCTAGCATGAAGAATACTGTAAATAATCCTTTCATTTATCTTTGTTTTGCATTCTTAATATTAATATTATGCAATGTTCACTCTTAATATCAACCACAACCAGTTATTTTGCGCTTCTATTGAAATATACTCTTAATATTCTGGCCCTTATTTGCTAATTTGCATGGAAAATCTACACTTTTACTGAACTAATACTTACACTGGCGATAACTAAACACCTTATACATGTTCCAGGAGAACTTAGAAGCTTTTGCAACTATACAAGAGATCCTTTGTACCAAACCATTCTTTATCAAGGTGGGACCCACAAAGGAGTTGTCAATGAACAACGTACTCATATGGACACTGAAAACTATTGAACTGGAAGCTGAAGAAGAACAACAACCAATGTCTGCAATGGATACAGACCTAGAAGAATTTGTCTTAACAGAACAAGAGAGGAAGCTGCAGAGAGATATGATACTCGAAGAACAAGCACATGGTAAAAAGCCTCTGGTGATTGAGTTTAACTCAAACCCTGCTACAGCCCAGAATCCAGCAACCAGGAATGATGCCAGAATTGCTCAACTTGCTCAGCTAGAAGAAATGAACTTAGCCTCCCAAACATTTGATTCGGACATATTCCTGCTATCTGAGCCAAGTTTGGAACCCCTTTAGCTTCCTGAAATAAACACCCCACCAAAGGAAGTACTTCCAAGTTGGACTAAGCTTTCTCGCAAACGTAGCCCACCAAAGAGCAAAGAATCTACTTCTTGTGACTCAAAGCCAAGTAAAGCTGCTGATGACAGTCCACCTAAGAAAAAGGTGAAGACAACACTATTTCAAGACACCCATGTCGAAGAAAGTTCTGATGAATTCAGCTCTCCAACAGCTCAGCCTGAAAAGCCATGAAGTACTCAAGTGCTTAGGATACATAGTCACCACCTTTTGCCTCTACTAATGATGATAGTAAGATCAAACTTAATGTTGCTTTATATATAAGTTACACACTACCTGATTTATAGACAGGCATAAATCTTTTGGGGGTTTAGAAGGAACAAATGTGAACAAATATTGTTCCCTATAAACACCAGTTATATCAGTAGTAATGCTGCTAGGTACATTAGAATATAAGTGTGAGTTTAAGTGGTAATATTAGTATTTTGGGAAAAAGGCACCTATCATATTGGTAAGTATGCATAGTACAAATTAGTATTACCATGTTTTGCCTAATGAAGCAAAACTAATCTATGTACTGGTATCCTTAAATCAGGATTATTATATATAATATTAGTAAATTTTAGTACTTTCCCTGCGTTTTAATATTCAAAGTTTTGTGTTTTCTTTACAATCACCTATATGCAATTAATTTTAACTATCATGATATCATTCAATCAGACTGATTTACTTCTCTGTGTTGAAGCAACAGTTCATAGCATAGGCATACAATACTTGCATAACACCGTTGTTTTAGATGTTTCAATGTTTCATTCTCACAAAGCATATACTACTTGCCTATACTGATTTTCCAAAACATACATTCTCAAATCTAAACCAGAAAGTACCAACTGCATTTAGATCACATTTACATGTGCATAAGTTATTTGAAAAAAAAAACAAAACCAAACAAAGTAGATATAATAGTAGCTACAAACAGTCTATTACATAACAATTTAGCCCCACATAGCTTAACAATATTCCACATTTTAGTCAAGCCTTAGTTGATAGAGTTGATAAACAAAACAAACTTCTATCAACTTAATACACATTATTAAAGAACTTCCTAAACCCTTTTCATTGGCTAATCATACTAGAACTAAATCCACATCAAACACTATAGGATGACCTTCCCTATATTTGAAGAGCCCAGCTGAACATTATAATACTCAATGAACTTTCTGACTCCATTCTTCAAGGAACATTGAATGATTTTATTTTTCTTCTTCACAATCTTCAATTCAACATCAAATTGTTTATCAAAATTCTGTAAGACCACGGCAGTTGTTGGAGAAAATCCCATGAAATGTTCTTTCGCAAAAGGCAGAGGAATATTCTGCAAACACAAGATTAAAACGTTACAGGTAGCAAACAGGCACAAGCATACAACAGAAAAAATCAGTAATATACACTTATGGAAATAAGCTTCACAGAGTGTACAAGCTATAGTAGTAAACTTCATAGCAAACTTACAATTATAGCCTGATCGAAGTACTTTTTAGTGAAAGAAAACTTGAAGAAATATTAACCCCACACATCTGCAAGTGCATCGAGCCAGGCATTTGCCTCCATCATTTTTTCAGCACATCCTTCAATAGCTGGCTTACGGCCACGCTTCTTGCAAGTGTTGCCAAATCCATAAGTTTGTCTTGCTCCCACACTCTGTGGAGGTCCAGTGCGGTAAATAATTTTAACCGCAAAAGAATTATTACCAATGTACTTAAACATTAGCACATCGCCAACATTTAAACTATTATCATCCATAAAATCTGACCACCCTATGTCGAGATACATCTTCCAACCATTGTCAGATTCTTCGTGCAACAGAGTAACAAACCAAGATTCATCATTACCGTCTACCAACAATTCAATGTTGAGAAAGCCATCTTCTAAAACCTCTTCCAAACCATCAGGAACACGCTATAACATATAAACCGCTAAGTAAGTAGATATAAGCATGCAAAACAAAACTAAAAATACAAATCTTACAACCTATAATGTTACAAAAACCAATCAATGACTCAACTCTCTTAAACCGCTGAACAATTAGAAAACTGCAGAGACTCAATAGCAAACAAATCATCAATTCCACATCCAAAAATCCAATTAAAGGTAATACCAGAATTTCCATATTAAGCACCTCTCATTTCAATACAATGAAACTCAACACTAGATTACAATAACTGCACAACCACAACACCTATATATTTTTAGCCTAACCTCTAATGTGTTTGTATCTGTCAACCACCTCTACCCCTACTACGTTTCGCTCAATTTTCACAGTGCAAAACCATTCGTCAAAATCATACTATATTACGCCCAAATTTTAACAGCATGTTCATAAAAAAAAATTATCACATCAACCCTAGAATTCACAACTCAAAGGCTTATTGCAATTCCTCTGCCGAAAAAAAACTTTAAACAAAAAACAAAAACCAGAAAAACAACAACAAGCAAAACCAATACACAACAATCAATGCATAAGCCTTCTCAATTTTAAACATTCAACATGAAACATATCACAAAAAATACACCCAAACAAATTCAAGTAAAACCGAAACAAGTGTGCAATATACAAAATTCAACAACCCCTTACTTGTGTCTTACCAGTTTATCACAAGTCTCTGTTTCTACACGAACGGTAAATGACAGTGAAAATTCACCCATTGCTTTTTAGATATCCAATGAAAATGTGTAAGGTTTTTTTTTTTTTTTTTTTTTGAAACAGCTCACAACAACTACGTTACCATCGTATATAAAGCCTCATGAAGTTTAAAAGACTTAGTATACAATACTATTAAATGAATAATAAAGTAATTAATTAAGAGACGCATATCTCAATGTCTATGCTTTTAATACTAGACTTACAGTAAGGCCCAAATATTGCACATGCTTATTTTGCCTATAGGTCAACTTACAAATGATTATATTCCTTACACCATTGATATAGTATGGCAGCACATACTTCCCAACAATTTGTATACAAATATCAATGATAGAATGTACCTATGTTCTGCAATATTCCTGATCCCTGTGTTTTTTTTTTTTAAAAAAAAAAAAAAACAAATCAACCACACACAATTTAAAGAAATAATACACTACAGCTACCCATGAGAAATGAGCTAGCCCTTAATCACACCTTTTGTAGACACCAACATATTCTTCCACATACAACACTCCACCACATGAACTATAACATAGTTCCAGTAATACAGGGGCATCCATAAGTGCTTAAGTTGATAACTACATTGTGTATATATAAATTCATTACTAATATTGTTAAATTACATTTTGCTGACATACATATTGTAACTCGTATCCAAATCACCGCATCCAAGCATCACCCATAACATTCATAGCATTACGTTGGGGGGCGCGCGCATTTGCGCGCGCACCAACAACTAGTTATACAAAAATTATAAGAATAATTTAACAAAAAAGCAAATTAAAATGCATAATCGATCACTTACTCCACTTTATCAAGGTTCGGCCCATTAGTTTTTCCCATCTTATTGAAACTTTCTATATCAAATAATAAGACCAAATGAAGTTTAATAAAATAAAATAAAATAAATTATAATCCAAAGAAGGGGAACAGAGAAATTTCATAAGAAGGTTATGAGTTTAATAACGAAACTAAATTAGGTCCCGTGCCATGCACGGTAATTTTTAAATTAATAATGAATTTTTCTAAAATATTATACGGAGTAAAGAATTCATTATAAAAGACCCTATAATTAATTATAATAAAATAGCCTATTAGCTAGATAGCTATTTTTAAAACGCATTTGACAATATGTATATTATTATATATTTTATTTCATAAAAATTGGTTTAATTTTCTTGTTGTCAACCAAATGGATTTCTTAAAATGTTGTACATTACACTATGTATGTCACAAATTATGTAAAAAACTTGATTTTTTTTCTCTTAAATTTATAGTTGTTAATATTTATTTGTAGAAGGACACATCAAATCTTTTATTTTATCTATTTTTTAATATTTGAAATTCAAATTACTCTCTTAGAGCTTTTTAACATATATTTAACAATTAAATAAAAATAATATAATTATTGTTGTAATTATGGCACAATTATGTTAAAAATCTGATTTACAATTTTTTATTTACATGGAAAGACATATCAAATCTCTTATTTATTTATTATTTTGCTATCTTTTTATTTATGTACTACGTATAAGATTTGTCAAATCTTTTCTTTATGTATTATTTTGCTATCTTTTTTTGTTGATGTATAAGATTTGTTTACTAAAGATTATTTTTTTAAAAAAAAATAATAAAACCTAAAGGACACGCCAGAAAATGACACGTGTCATTGCTGGTGTGTCTTTTAGTATATATTATTATTGATTGATTATTGATGATTTTAACATATATTTAACAATTAAATAAAAATAATATAATTATTGTTGTAATTATGGCACAATTATGTTAAAAATCTGATTTACTATTTTTTTTATTTACATGGAAAGACATATCAAATCTTTTATTTATATATTATTTTTCTATCTATGTACTACGTATAAGATTTGTCAAATCTTTTCTTTATGTATTATTTTGCTATTTTTTTTTGTTGATGTATAAGATTTGTTTACTAAAGATTATTTTTAAAAAAAATAAATAAATAAAACCTAAAGGACACACCAGAAAATGACACGTGTCATTGCTGGTGTGTCTTTTAGTATATATTGATTATTGATTGTTTGGGTCCAATTTAGTCCAATTGGGCCTGGTCACTGAATGATCCAATTAAAAGCCCAAGGTTAAGGTTCAACTCTCCAAATGTGCTAAAGTCAAAAATCAACATCCTCAAAGCCATGTCAAGGTCAGTCAACGGCCCAATCAGCTTGGCCCAGCCCAACTGACTTCCGGGCCCAATCCGCCTCCTTCATTAGCCAAGGTATAAAAGCCAACAATTTGGTCAATTCTTGGGAAGACAATAAAGCCTCAAGCAACTAAACTCTTGCACAGCTTTCTCTCTCTAATATACTGACTTAAGCATCGGAGGGGCCTTCCTCGGCGTCCCCCCCGAGGCTAGTTTACGTGTATTTGTTGTGCAGGAAACCCTCGGCTCCTGCGTCGTTCGGACCGAGACCAAGTTCCCTCAAGATAAAAGGATCTTCCGAGATTCGATTGTTTTCATCCGAAACAATGATGATTATTGATTATCGATGATTATTGATAAACGGATAGTCATTAGCGAAAAAAAAAAATTAAAAGTATAATTTATTCATTATTTTTAAAAAAAAATGATATCCTAGATCTAATCTATCCAAATTAATCTTCACAATTCAGAAGCTAATCTAATTTCTAACTCAAAACAACAAAATTGCAATTAGAACAAATTGGATATGAATTCAGTTTACAAATTAGCAATTGACAAAAAAAAAAAAAAAAAAAAAAAAAACCGAACCTCTGAATAATTGAAGAAGAAATTTGAACTATAGCCGTTGTTGTTGTTATGTACCGCTGCCGCTTGAATCGGTATTGACACAATTGTGGTTGTTATGATAGAATTATGAGGATGATTTCAATAAATCACTACATGGGGCTTTAGAGAAGAAGGGCGGTGATAACTAAGAAAGAAGGGGTGATAAAGGGTTTTTTCCACTAAGAAAGAAGGGCGGTGATAATTTGATAAATGCTCACCAAAGGGAGTAAAGGAAAATGGCTTAAATCAACAACCCACAAGTACTACGTATTAAAGTAGGCAAGAAAAACTAGGTAAGAGACCCGTTCAGTACTTCAGTCTGACACCGAGTCAGTTATCTATCTATTATTTTTTTGCCTAACAAAAGTAGTGGACCCTAGCTGATATAAGAGACCCGTTAGGTTAAGTAGAAGGTCTCTTATTTCTCATCTAACTAAAGTGGTGGGGCCTATTACACATAAGAGACCCGTTATCTTTAATATTAGATCTTTTATATCAAACAGACCTCTTAGCAAGAAACTGGGTTTTTTATTAGTGGTTATTTTTCCAAATTTTGTAGTAGTGTAATCACAATTTGACAAAAAATTACAGAAAAATTGAGCAATCTTTCAATGAGGAAGCATGAAAAACAACAGAAAATACACCAATTTGAAGATCAAAATAGTTTCTAAGTTTCGAATCTATAAATCAATCACAGAGAATTAGATCGAATTAATCGATTCAAAATTATAGAAATCGCTTGAAAAAGAATGAGAGAAGAAGAACAAGTACCATTTTCCCATAAGATGGAAGCAGCGGTTGAACGAGGAAGAAGAGGAAAGAGAAGCAAGTGTTCGGAGGTGGTAATTGGCAAATGTGCATTGGGGTCACAAATCTGATCTTTCTCAATTCAATTGAATTGGGATCCTAAATTTTAATGATTTGGGTTAGTTCATGGCATCGTTTGTGAGTCATTGTTCTAAATAGAGAACCTTCTAGAGAGTAGAGCGGATGTCAGGAGCATCAGGAAGACCCATGGATGCTAAACTCTTGATTTCTTTGATGTTGATGACCTTTTTTGTCAGTTTCAACAAATTCAAGAAATTAGGTTAGGCTAGGAGTTGTTGGTGATGAATTCAATTGAATTGAAGAATAAAAACAGAGAGAGAGAAACCTCGAGTGAGAGCTGAGCATGGCGAGAGATCTCCTCGGGAGAAGGAGAAGGAGAAGGAGTAGCAGAGGAAGTGGAAGTGCCATTGGACTCCGGTGGCAGAGGAGGTGGCGATGAAGGTCCAATCGGATCTCTCAAATTTGGGGGTAAGAGAGCGAAGAAGAAACAGATCTCGTGTTCTCCAGTTTGCCTTGAAATTATCGAACTCCAATCGTCATTTTACCGTCTTTTTTTTTTATCTCAATCAACACTAATTCAGTCTTCAAAATGCATCAAATCTTCAAGATCCAACAATATTCATTAAAAAAAAATTCACCAAATCCCGAATGTAAGCTAAAAAAAAATTAAAAACCAAATAGATGATTAAAGCAGAGATCATACATCAAAGAAAAAGATAAGAAAAATGAAGAAAATCGCTTGAATTTCTTAGAAGATTCGGAGTGAGCAGATTGAGTGAGGAGAAAGAGAGAGGGAAGTGAATTTAGAGAAAGAGGACTAACGGCTATGTACTGAAACCCTAATACTTCAGTGTAATGGGCTTACTCCTTTAAGCAAATTCCGCCCCATCAAAAGTCTATTTGTATCAGGCAATATATTGTCGTTACAATTAAATAATTATTCGTAACGGGGAAAATATTGCCCGTTACAATTAAATGATTATTCATAACGGGCATTATTTTTCCCGTTACAAATAGTTGTTATTTGTATCGATCATATATATTGCCCATTACAAAAGATATTTTTGTAACGGATTTAATTATGCCCGTTACAAATGAGGTATTACGAATGAGATTTTTTCCACTAGTGTTTCATTATCGAGTCAACTAAGATAGTCTAGGATGTTACAATCCTTAAACTATGAGATACAACGTCAAAGCCTATACTTGATTAAGCCCATTTAACATGAACCTTAAAAAAACTTCACTTCCTTCTTTTTTCATCATTCTTTTTTGGGAGAAAGTTGGTACCCTCTATAAAAATGACGGAAATTTTTTTGTTGTTTTTTAGGGCTTTTAAGTCGAATGCACACATAAGTCATCTACACATTGTGTCATGAGTCAACACTTTGCAGACACAAGTCACAATCGCGTTTAGTGGACCTCGAGTCGGTTAATCATATTAAGTCAAATTTACACCTTGAGTCATGTCAAGCCATGTGTGTCAAAACGCTTTGAGTCGAGTCATGACAAGTCATGTGTGTTAAAAACACATTGAGTGTTATATAAGTCAAGCAACACTAAGCCTTAGGTTAACCCTAAAGAAAAGATGAGCAAAGTCCTATAGTCCAAAATATAAATGCAGGTACGAGCAACGTTTACAAAAGATTTGAAGCAAAAGGACACAAATGGCTTAGCAAATCAACTAGAGTTGGCCTAATCGCAATTAGATTGACGATAAGCCTGATTGATTAAGCACTTCCAGATTTTAATCAAGCACCTCGTTTGAAATTGATTTTCGACAGTGTTTCAAGGCATGGGAAGCTATCACTTCCAAAAGATAAGCGAGCAAGAACATTCTCGGATTTTGTGAAAAAAAAACCGCAAATATAAATGCATGAAATTCTTCCAAGATAGAAGGAATTTGAGCAAAACTTACGTGGATTGGTAAATTAGAGATGTAGAGCTTTAATTTGCAAAAGATTTGGGCAGATTTGGTTGAAAGGAAATGACCAAGTTGAAGGTTCGGAGTGAAGCCGAGCAACGAACAGCAGCAGCAGCGACTTCAGCGCCAGATTCAAGGTTTTCCTCAAGCGCTAAAGCTCATCGCCTGGCGACAGAGCTAAATCCTGGCGACAGCGTGTTTCGGTGTGCGCTGGTGCAGAGACAGAATTTGTGGCCCCTAGAATTGACTATGCGGACCTTATGCAGCAATTTCAGGTTCCTTAGTGCGCCAGTTATCCCTTATAAGCAATTTGACATGATTAAGTAATCGGCTCAATTACAATCACTGTAGGTGATCAACCTGATAAAAGATCGTCTCACTTAGCTTAAAACGCCTAAACATTGGCTCATCGCAAGCACCGACGTAATGGTTCACAAGCAGTAAAATGCGCCGACGTACTGGCACCACGATAATTTCAACAAATATCACAGCAGCAAAGTTCAAGCAAGCTTTGAGGATCAACAATCGTTGGTCTTCGGTAATTTTCTTCAGAATATTATCACAACAACTGAAGATGGCAGAAAGCGGACTTATCTTCAATGACGTTCCCTAGCTTACGGAGGGTTGTCATAAACAACTAAGGATGGCTTCAAGCAGAGTTATCTTCGACGGCGTTCCCTAGGATGTGGAAGGTTGTCAGAAAACTGAGGAGCGCTTCAAGCGGAGTTATCTTCAACGGCATTCCCTAGGATGTGGAAGGTTGTCCGAAAATAGGAGGTGATTTCAAGCGAAGTTATCTTCGATCATGTTCCTTAGGATATGGAAAATGGTCATAAAACGGCGAAAATTGAAGGCAGCTGCAAGCGTGGTGTAGACACCCATTTGTGTCTCCCCAAAACCAAACCAAGTGATGAATAACTTTCACGTCGAACCATAATCGAATGAGGTGAAAGTGTGAAAAGTCTAGTGTTGCGGTTAGTTTTTGTTAAAATTCTTTCTTTCTGTTTTCGAAAACCCACTCTATTTTATGAAAACCTCCATTCCAGTTTAGTTTGGTCCATGATAAGGGTCCAATAATGGTTTAGTTGGATGGGGCTTGAAAAGACCTTTCCAACGATATATTATAAGCCCAATTCCGATGGATAATGAGGAAGTTATGGCCAAAATACTAAACTGGGCCCAAACCGGATTTTACCTACGACCCAATGATCACGAGGAGGGTCCAAAGGTTTAATCCTATTCCTAAACTAATTAGGATTGATTAGAATCTTCTATAAGTTTCTAAAATATCTTAATTATCCTTTTTTGAAAAGATAAGATTAAGGAATTTGATTTAAATATAAACTTTCCTTTTTTATAAAACTTTCCTTTTTTAAAGTCCTAATTCTATTCGGATTTAAACATGTTCAAAGACAGTCAGATATTATTTTTGTGCCTCATATTTATTATCCAAATTTGATATGGTTGGATAGATCTTGGAATTATCTTTCCAATGATATATTATAATATTAAATCCGAGCTATAACGGAAAAAATATGAATAAGATATCAAACTCTATCCAAAACTGACACCGTCTCACTATTTCGTTCATATCTTTTATTCTACAATATATTTTAATCTGATTCCAATTTGGTTAGAAAGTAGACTTCAAGATATTTCCAATGACATCTTATTAAGCTTATTTAGATTCCTGGATCAAAAGATATGATAAAAACAAAATCCGCAAAAACTGATGTCTACGAGTTTTATTTCGATTCGAATTTGGATTCTTTTCTTAATTCTTCGACCCTCTTTTTTCCTATAAATAGAGGTCATATCTCCCCTTTTTCAATAACCAACTCACATCAAGATTTTCTTGATTATTCTCTCTCTCTCTTTTTCTAAACTTTGTTCTCAAATACAAAATTCCGCATTCGCAAGATCTAGAAACACCTAGCCATATTCGAAGTTGCCTTCGCCCTAGACGTGAAAGGTTTTAATTTCTGAGGGTTTGGTCCCTAATCTCTATTTCAATTATTTAATTTAATTGTTTTGATTATTATTTTTCTTTGAAGTTACTAACGTGTGTATTTTGTTATTAGAAAGAGGTATGAAGCATCAAAGTAAGTACTTTAATGGTTTTATTGATATTATGATGTAGACATCATGTTTATATTGTTATTATGATATTCCTAGTATAATGTCTAGGGTAATTTTAATATTAAATATGATTGCTATGATGCCTTTTATTCTCTTCCTAATATTAATTCATGTTAGTATCATGTTAGGGTTAAAGATTTGATTTTTATTGTTTAGTGACATGCTAGGGTTTGCTATTAATCTTGTTAGTATCGTGCCTAGGATCTTGCTATGCTTTAACATGATTATGATTGATATTATTCTTATTAATGATGTTGATTATTTATTATGTTGCTTGATATGTATTATTATATTTTATATTATTGCTTGATCACCTTTATTGCATGTTAAAGGGAATTTGTACTTGCAATCACGCTTAATAAGATAATTAATAATCTTGTTAGGTTAATTGTGATTATAATTCAAGTGATCGTCAATAATAGTTTATATGTGCATTAAATTCAACCAACATAGATTAAACAGGTTTAGGGTTAATCTATTGATTGCATGTTAATCAGAAAGCGCGCATGAATACGAGCAGAATAAAGTAGAGGCCTATTATTAGGGCAGGTTTAATCTCTTTTAGGTTGGATTTGTACCTTCATCCCCGAACCTTTATTTGGTTCATGACCTTATGGAGTTGACGATCTCTTGGATCGTTAAGGGGTGTAACCTTCACCTCGTGAACGGTTTACAAGTTCCTTAAAAACTTGTTGGCGACTCTTTTGCTCTATCTTCTTCCCTTTTGGACGCCACCATACTTTAGTGTATGATCACAGTGGGGTTCAAGCTAGTGGGATTTTAAAGGCTTGAAATTATTCCCTACAGTTTTTGGCGACTCCACTGGGGAGGATTTCTATTTTAATTCCCGAATTTGTTTCGGCAATGATTTAGAATGAGTGGATGAGACTCGAAAAGTTCTAAGTATTTCATGTGCTTAATTTTGATTAACATTATTGTCATATGCATAAAAAGGTTCTCATTGGAAAGACCATCCGTAATGAGCCAAAAACATAGGATTTTACACATAGGAAATTTGAGAAATGTCTTTCACAACTAGGACTGAAATAACACCGCGCGAAACTGGATGATTTTATTGAGCAAAGAAAGCTGCTGAGGCATGTGGGAAGTAGCGTCAGGGGCCAGAGCTTGGCGCCAAACTTTTAGCCGTAGCGCCAGACGCTACAGTTAAAATTGGCGCCAGTCTCTGTTTGCTGACGCCAATTTCCCCCAATACCGAGCCAGAAATATGCGTTCTAATTTCGACCGGTTTTTCGTATTGTTTGCTCGATCCTGCTTCCTGATTGAATTTTTTCTCACTTTTCTGAAACCCATATGTGTTCTACATATGGACATAACCCTCTGGGAATTCATGCTCTATCTACTCGATTGAACGCTCCTGGCAACAAAGGGTACATCTGAGAGGTTGAATTCACCAAACCATGGAAGTGAGTTTTTTCTAAAAAGTCGCGGTGTTCTATCCACACGCGTTAACCCTTCACGGTTAGGCTTCTACGCGGTGCATCTGGACAATTAACCATGGACCCTGTTTGACTAAACCATATCCCGAACTTTAGAGAACTAGAGCCAAGGTTTGGTTGCGAACTCATTGCATCATGTTGTGCCTACTTGACTAATTGTGCATTATTTGTTGTGCATATATATTTTATGTTTCTCTTAACCGTTTGTTGATTTGTGTTGAGATTAAAATTAATGACTTAAAGACCTTTACCTAATTAATTAATTAATTAATTAATTTGATTCAATAAAGTTTCTTTTTAATCGGAATTGACCTAGTATGACTTTAGCCATACCCAAGTTGATTA